CGGACTGTCAGGTTAATACGCTTGAGTAATCACGGACTTTTTGTCACCATTAAGTCCCATTAAGTTTGATATGTGAAATAAAATAGGTGTATACACAATACCTGAAGCAGAAGCAGTTGCCATGGTTGTACTTGTATATATTCATTCAGAACTCTCTTCTATTGCTTGCCAAGACGTTTTCGTTCGATCAGGACACGATTGCCGGGCAATCGATCTAGAAACTGTGAATATTATATTATCTACTTGTGTTTTTTTAATCAATCATTTTCTTCCCTAGTGGCTTGATTTTACTGATCCTTTTTGAAAAGCTTGCTTTTAAAAATGTTGTTTTGTTTGAGGCGCGACCGAGCGCGATATAACAGGGTTGGCGACGACTAAATAAAGAATATATGATAATTTGAATCGTTTGGAAAAGCATATTCGGCAACACACCTTTACCGTTTGAAGTCAGTTTGGGCAGTTTCACCAAGYCAGTTCTTCGAACGACGAAATGGGAGAAGTTCGTTCGTTGAGTCTTTGGTGATAAAAGACGCAGGGGAAAATCCCCCGCTGGTTATTTGGTACCGCTGATTATAAGAACTAACGGCGCATAAACAAAATTCAAGATGGCGATGTGGGAGCCGAGTTCTGCTGAAACTCTGCGACATTTAGCTTGTTCTCTCGCCGCTTTAAACCCTGCACCATGGCCAAAAGTAAGTCAGAATTCGTTAAAAAATATTTATGTTAATTTGGAGCTCTTCTTAGATTGTAAATTGTTTCAAAGAAAGAAAATATATGAATCTTTTCTCGTCTSTAATTTTCGAATTCTGTATTGAAATCAACCAAAATTAATTATTAAGYTTACTTTTTGGAGTTCGAGCCAGAAATGAACGTAATTTTGGTTTATTTTGTGGACTTAACTGCCACAAGGAAGATTTATTAATCACGAAGATGCAAAATTCAACGCCAACATTCGGCTGCAACTTGCAAAAATATCATAAAAGTGAAATTGTGTTTTTCAGCATTAACTTCAGTCTTAAATTTGTTCAACAAACCTCGATTTTAAGAAATCTGTATAAAGATTGTTTTCATAAAAGTTCAATTATTTTTGTATTATATTAAAAGAGTTGAGGCTTATTGTGTTGTGGGCGATTAATGTACAAAAAAGGAATTTCTTTGATTGTTAGATGCAAACGTAAGCTTATCTGCAAAAACGATGGATGGATGGATTTTTTAAACAGATACGATTTTTTTTCATCATATRTTGCATTGGTTTCCATGATGTTGATAAATCAAGCAATGATTTTGACTCATGCGAGTAGCTTCACTACCTTTTTCTTTCTTTCTTGTTTTATTCTTTTCCTTTTTCTATTTTCAGGTCAARAAAATGTCCAGGCTATGCCCTGGCAGACCCAAGACACCGACAGACTACTACACTTTAGACCAAAGAAGCCAGGAAGCTATACTAGCACTGGGACTTTATGAACTCCAGTCAAATCTCCAGTACAAATCCAAAATAATGCCATACTTAATTGATGTATTGAAGAATCTCCCGGCAGCAAAGTGGATTGAACCTCAGATGTTTACGATAGCTTCAAAGTCCCCAATTTCTGGAGAGTTTACTCTGTGTTTTGTGAGTCTTATGAGTAGTCTAGCAAGAAAGGATAATTTGCTGGCAGGAAAGATAAACAAAGCAATAATGGATGTGTTTGAAATTCTGGTGAAAAGGTGCTGGTCTTATAAAGAAATGAGAGATATTGATAACAAAGGTAAAACACGCTTGCTTTAGGTGGCTTGCTATAGTTTTTTTTCGGCCATACCTCTCCTTTTAAATTTGCTTTCTGAAAATCTTGCCATGCACCAATTTAATTGGTGTTTGGAACAAAAGGCATTGACCAAAGTTTTGTATGGCATAATATTTAGCTCCATCAATAGAACGATTTCACAAT